ATTATGGTTATATGCCTACACAACAAGAACATCAATATGCATCAAGTTCAACTCATGAAGCATCAAATATTTTTCAAAGACAAGCACCAGTTATTAATGTAAATGTTCCAAATCAATATCAACGTAGTCATTCGGCTTCACAATTTGAAGGACAACCAGGTATTTGTAAAACTTTTCATGGATCATATACAGATTTAGCTGGTACAAATGGTGCATATACAACTGGTATTAATAATGATTATTTAGCTGCACAACGAGGACAACAATATACAACTAGTTCAACACATGACATTGGAAATATCTATCAAACAGAAGGTTCAATTGTTAATATAAATGTTCCAAATCAATTTCAACATAGTCAATCGGCTTCTCATCTTGATATACAACAGGGTGGTCATGGTGGTGGTAGTAGTGGTCATAGTTTTCATGGTTCATATTCGAATTTAATTGGAACAAATAATGCAACAACTATTAGTGCTGATCAACATAATCAAGATATTCTTCGACAAACATTCGAACAAACAACACAATATTCAGGTATACCACCTCATGGTCCAACACAAATTGAAATACTCGATACAGCTGTTAATCCTTGTTGGCAAAAAACTGATCAATCAACATTAATGCGTCGTTATGGTCGTCCAGCATTTGAAATAGTTCATAAAAGTGAAGAAGTTGAACAACAAATGTATCATGAACTTCGTCAACGAGCAAGTACTAGTGGTATTATAAGATCTGCTTCAACAGTTAGTTATGGATCAGGTTCCGGTATAGGTATTAGTGGTAGTAGTATTACTCAATATTAAATATCTCTCATTGTTTTCATGTTAATGTCATATGAACATTTTATCATAAATGTTATGTTTTGTTTATTGACATAACATATATATAGACAATCATGTTTATTATTATTGTCATTCATTCGTTTACTTTATTCTTTTCTTTTTTGAATTTGTCGCATACAAAAAATAAATTAGAAGAATCAATTTTCTTCTCTGTCATCATTTTTATGTGTTTTTTTATTGTATTGTTTATTGTTCGTTTTAAAATATTTCGTTTTCCTTTCTTTTTTCTTCTTCTTCCTCCTAGGAACACTACCGTTCATGCTATTTCTTTTTCTTTTTTTTTTCTTCTTTTTCAAAATAAAAAGAAAAGATAATCAAGAATAAATTCATTTTCAATCATATAAATTAGTTGTTAAATTTCATTATCAGTATGAAAGTTATTGAATGATCTTTTTTTCTGGAATACGATCTAAAAACCAGCACAGATCGTATCTTATTAACAGCTCGTTATAATATATTAACTACTTTCTTATTATATTCCTGGAGGGTTAAGTAAAACGAAGGCGAAGAAATATGTCTTAAGATAGACATAATAAAGCAATATTTCTGTGATTAACAGCAACAAGTACGCTGTGTTTCACATTTTAGTCCTGTAGGGATGATAGCACTAACAATTTGTTTGATTAAGTACAACTAACGATGGAAGTTCTGCAATAGATAAATCGTTTTTGAATCGAGACTAGGTCTATTTTTGAAGATCTAAACGAACTATGAATAGTCTGAAAAGAGTTGGTACCCTAAACTTATTACTGCGGAGATACTGCACTTTTATGATATGTTTTTAAAAATGAATGCTGTGGTAACAAAGTATTCATTTAAAAAAATATACCATAAAAGTGTAATATCTCCGTAGCAAAAAGCTAAAGGCACGAACTCTTTTCAGAATATTCCATAGCTTCATTTGGATCTACATAATGCATATAGTCTCGACTCAAAAATGATTTACTAGTTGGAGGGCTTTCCTCATAAGATATAAATAATTTTATGTAGATTAGTAAATTTCAATCATTTCCGATTGATATTTGATAGTGACTGCGAAAAAAAAACCTGATTGTTTCATATCCTGTATCCTTTCTTCTTCTCCGTTCTTTTTATTTAGATCAATTAAAAAAAAAAGAAAACTTGATACTGATTCATATTAGTGCATAAGTATACAACACCCACAGTTCCGTTGTGCGTAGGCAAGAGAAAAAAAGGAGCGGAAAAAAATAATAGAAAAATTTCCTGCTGTTTATCAAATTAAGAGAAAAGTCCTGCGGTTAAGCTATTCATTCATTATCAATCAATAACTTCAGATCTTATAATGAGAATGAATGTAAGTCGAAATTCATTTAGTTTTTTTTTTTTTATAGAACAAGAAAAAGAACGTTTTATATATATACGTATATATATAATATATCGATTCAATAAGTCTTATTAATTGAGTCGACATACAATTTTTTAAAAGATGATGAATAGTCCTTTTATTTTCTTAGGGAAATCGTCATAGAAAAAAATTATTATTTTCTTTCTCTTGTTAGTTATGAAAGTAGAAGATACTCGTTTGTGTATATGGGAAGAATATAAGATGCAGGCAATGTGTCTGTTGTATAGATAGTGTACATTCAATTACTGAATCGATCATTATAGAACGTCAGAAACAACATATTGAGATTTGAGATACGCATCGACATACTCCCACGTCAAGTTGCTCAGAAAAATTCTTGACAACAGACATAATTATTCAATATATTTATGACAGATTATTTGACACGAATTATATCAAATATAACTAGATAGGTAGTTAAAGAAGAATATATATACGTAAATTTAGTTTTTATAGTTAGATAAATCATTAGAAGAGAAATAAAACAGATTAAGTCATTTAGATAGTAACAAAAATGTAATATGACACTATTGACTAAGATAATAATATTTATAACAGTAAATCTAACATCTTCTCGTATTTGATAAAATGAAAAAATTATATATGTATATATAAGATACAATTTTCTTTTTTATATCAAAACAATTACGGTAACTCTTTGTCGACGATATCTATCTGTATATATTATTTGTTCTCTTATGCTTAGCGTGTTGTAAGATAACACAACAATATATATATATATGAGCAATCTTTTCAATAAGTCTAAAATTGAAATAGTTAAACTTGTCAGATAGATCTTATATTTATTTGAATCAAAATTTATATTTCAACAAAGAAAATATTTATATCTTTATTTATTCAAATCTAACAGATATCTTACACATTGCTATTCTTAGAGTAAGGAAAACCAGATAGAAAAAAAAAAACTATATATACACAAATCTAGATAAGGTCGTTCTTGAATGACAGATCTATATTCTTAGTACAAAAAAAAATACATTTTTTCTAGAAGTCTCATCGATCATGGAACAAATCAATAACACTCCTGGTTAAATCTACATAAGATAGATATATGTCGACGAATAACAGTGATCAACAATATGTACCGATGGTCAGTAAAAAAGGTCACCATCAATTAGAAACAAATAATATGCTTGTTTCAACAACAACAACAACAACAACATCAATAGTTGAACCAAAAAATAAAATAATTAAACAAGGTGAACGTGACAATTGGAGTAATCGTATTGTTTATCTTTTATCAATTATTGGTTTTGTTGTTGATCTCGGTAAAGTCTTTTTTTCTTCGTGACTCTTTGAGAGTACAGAAGGATTTTTTGAAACAAAAAAATAATCTATAAAATCCGTTTAAAAATATATTTAAAAAGAATTTGTCTTTCAAATTTAATTGCTATACTTTCTTTACAAATAGAGTTAAAAATTCCAAAATATACAAAAAAAAGGTTATCCAGTGTAATATGTTAAACGGGAAAGTATGGGTCTTTTCAAAGTGATAATAATAGACACAAAAAAACATAGCATTTTCAGCGAATTCAAACTCCTATTGCTTATATTCAAAGAACTAAATAGAAATTTGAATTTCTACTTCTTTACAGGCAATGTTTGGCGTTTTCCAACAGTATGTTATCGAAATGGTGGCGGTGCTTTTCTTATTCCTTATTTTACTTTCTTATTTCTTGTTGGTCTTCCTTGTAAGTAAATTCTTTCAGTAGATTTTTAAAATTCTTCGTTGTTTTTTTTTCTTATCTAAAAAAAAAAGGTATGTATGTGGAATTAGCTATTGGACAATATCATCGTCTTGGTTACATAACAATATGGGATAAAATATGTCCACCATTAAAAGGTATTGGTTATTCAATGTTAATTATTAATTTATATGTTTTATCATATTATAATACAATTATTGCATGGTCAGTTCATTATGGTTTAGCATCATTTCGTGCTATTGTACCATGGACATTTTGTAATAATGAATGGAATACACCATTATGTTATTCTTTACATGATAAACGAACATTAAATATTCTACCTAATGGGTCATGTTCATCAGCAGATGAATATTTTGAACGACGTATGCTTAAATCTCATTTATCATCAAGTATTAATCAATTAGGTTCATTACAATGGGAATTAGTTGGATGTTCAATAATTGTTTTTTTTCTTATTTATTTAACAATTTTTAAAGGTGTTAAAACAGCTGGTAAAGCCATATGGTTTACAGCATTAATACCTTATGCTGTATTAATTATATTATTATTACGTTCATTAACACTTGATGGAATATTTGAAGGTTTAAAATATTATGTAGCACCATCATTTGATCGTTTAAATGAATATTCAGTATGGCAAGCAGCTGCTGTACAAATATTTTTTAGTTTAGGGCCTGGTTTTGGTGTTCTACTTAGTTATGCAAGTTTTAGTGATGTACATGATAATGTATCTGGTACAGCTTTAATAGCTAGTTTAGTTAATTGTTCTACTAGTTTATTGTATGGTACAGTTGTATTTGCTGGTTTAGGTTATTTATCAAATCGATTACATGCTGATGTACGACAATTTGCTGAAAGTAATATGGGTCTTGTTTTTGTTGTTTATCCAGAAATTTTAACATCAATACGTGGTGCACCATTTTTTTCCATCCTTTTTTTTATCATGCTTTTAACATTAGGACTTGATAGTGTATTTGCCGGTGCTGAAAGTATTTATACAGCAATATCTGATGAATTTCCAATATTAGCTCGTCGTCCTCGTTTATCACGTGCATGTGTTGTATTAGTACCATTTTTAGCATCAATACCAACATTAACATATGGCGGAAAATATATTGTTCATTTTATGGATTTTTTTGGTACATCACCATCAATAATGTTCATTGTATTATGTGAACTTATTGCAACTGTATGGTTATATGGTATGAATAAATTTAGTAATAATATGGAAATAATGACTGGAAATAGACCAAATATTTATTGGCGTATAACATGTCGTTATATAGCACCATTAATACTTTTTATTCTTTATATTTGTTCATTTATTCAATTTGATAGTCAAGAATTTTCTTCATTTGGTAAGGGAAATACTGCATTAAGAGTAAGTATTGCTGGATGGACTCTTAGTTCAATATCAACATTACCTATACCAATTTATGCATGTTGGTGGTTATTATTTCGACGTCAGAAAAATGTTACTAAACAAACAACAACAACAACAACAACAACAAATGTTGTTACAGAAACAATACCAACTAATGGACTTAATGAACAAGAAGCATTTATATAAAAAACAATCGTGTTTGTTTGTTTTGTTTTTGTTGTGGAATTTTATAATCTTATATGATGATTTATTTTATTAGATCATAGACACATATGTATTTCTTGTAATAAGTGTGAATTTATTAAAGAAAACGAAAAAAAAACGCTTTATAAAAAATAATAGTAGTCCTTGATTATATGGAAAGATTTTAATTAATTATTATAGAGAATAAGACCTTCTAACTCTCTTGTATCGACAATATTATTTATTTCTTCTGGTATTTGACCAAAATTTTCAAGAGTAGCTGGTTCATGAAACTGTC